AATACAATTCGGCAAACCAAACATTCACTATACTACATGTAGTAGTACTATATATACATATACTATATGTACTACATACAGTGATATTTAGGTACCTGTTTTAATGGTACACGACTGCAGACAGTGACTATGATGAGATGACAAAACTAATGAGAATAACACTATAGCGCGGTAAACGACAGCACCTGCCCATCGTACAATATTAACCGAGCGCCGTCCCGTCGCGTCCGATCGGATTGTAGTTTTGATTTTCGATCGTTTTGGTCGTCACGCTCGCTCTTCTCCTGCGCCGACGGGGAGACGCACAAACCATTTTATGAAATATGATCACACAAGGATCCCGGGGGCGTCATTGTGCTCAGTCGATGGGGGTCGGGCAGAAGATCAATTTTCTGGCAACCAAAAGTCATATCAGCCCAATAAGTGTAAAATGTAGGAACGCTTGCACCGCAGCTGCAGCATTAACATGGAGAACTTATATTTATATACAATGTGTATACGTGTATGTGTATTGTGTGGCGCGGCGGCCGCGTACGTTTCTCGCGAGTTCATTTATTATTTTCGTAGATAAATTCCGCTTCGATGGTAATTACTGTGAAGTGTAAAGTTTGAGAGGGTGGTTCTTTATCTTTAATGAAACTTTTGTACTTTTGCTGGCAGCCGAATCTTGTTTTGTGCCAAGAACGCTCCCGGTCCAGGCCAAACTTATCGGCAATAAATTCGCCGGCAAATCCGGCTGGCGTAGCGGCGTGGCAGCGCAGCCCGACCTCGTGCGTTGCATCGCGAATAATATCCTCGGGGGTTATCGAGCGAACCGATATCCACTCCGCGACCGCGCCCGTCTCCCGTCCCACCGTCAATCGGTGCGATGTTGTATGCGCTCGTGCGATGGGGTACACCCGATAGGGAGCCAGGTGACCATTGGGCCTACGTGTACTCCCGACAATCGAATGGCACCCTTGTTTTTCACTCTCATAAAGACTCGACTGGCGAGATCTAAAAAACTAGATTTCAAACTTTGACTGACGGATCACGAGCTCGAAAGGATAAGCGCGTATTGATTTCAACAATCGGAAATCTTTCTCGTCACCACGAAAATCATTTTCGAGCGATGTGAAAATACTTAACGGTGGGTATTCGATAGCGCTTCATTTGAATTACAAATATAATTCATTGGCCCGTGCCCAAAAACAAAAGCTTGGAACACATGCGGTTCACGCGTGAAAAGTATACCAATAAACGCGGCGTAACGTTATGTATAACGGCTACGGGAGTCGTATGTACAAGTCACGATCGGCTTGCCGACCGATGGAGCTGTCAAATTTTTTCAGCCACGACGCTTGGGTATCTGGTTATCTCATGTTATCTTTTAATAACATATGTAATATGTAATAAAGCTTATTTTTTGTATTTATTGCTGAAATACCTACTATTTAAGATTTTGTATTTGCTTATCGTTTATTGATAATTGCTTTTCAATAAAGTATAATAATGTTAATCAATACTATTCAGCTGCATTATAGAAAATTGCTAAATTAATTATTACATTTTAAAACTAAAACATTTTGTGCCAGAAAAATGGTCCACGTTGGGATGAATCATTTTAGCACGCCCAAGTTTTAAACTAAATGTGTGCCTATGAACAAACTTACACATTTTATATACATATATATATATTGTTGATATTTTTATGTTATTCGTACCACACTGCTTAGTTATTCACGTTTCATATGAATACGTGATTGCCGATCAGCCGAAGTCCTAATAGCCGGTGACGGCTGCACATATCGAGATGAAAATATATCATATTGTTATTGGAATGATCGCTTTCGAGCTATGTGCGTACATGGTATAGTAGCATTGGGTTATATTATATATCAATGTAAAATATTATTACAAATAGTCGGAGGGACGAATGCGTTTGACATCTTATCAATTTGAAAATCAAAAATTGTTGACCAGAAACGGTGCGTGATGTTTTTATTTCAGCTTCTAGTGTACTGCAGTTGACAAAACGTGACGGACCATAAAGTCGCGTAACACGAGGAAAAACAATGTACATGCATACACACAAGAAGGATTTTTCAAATAATATCTATACGCCAAACGATTTGGTATTAATCCAAATATTACGTTTTAATTTATCGTAATCTCATATTAATACTTTCCAAACTCAGGAATTCTAATACCAATGGCTCTAAAATAATTTATATTTGGTCTATTATATTTCATGATGTTTTTTTTTCGAAAAAACACAAAGAACCGTTCTGTTATTGGGATACAATTACGTGTATAGATGTGTGTGTGTGTACGTGTTATATTTAAACGAGCATAATTCCAGAATCACTTTTACGTCCCTTGCATTTTCAAAACAAACAATAATTTCCACATATTATTATTTTTTATAGTGATAAAAACTTTACAATTTTCCACTCCCATTGCTCACAAGGGATTTATCAAAGATATGTAGCGGAAATCGGTTTCTCCAAGTCACCTCAAGATCACATCACCTAGCTTCAGTCGAGTGTAATTTGAATTTTAAATGTGTATAGTAGTCGTTCCAAAAATTACATATAATCATTTGCATGTTTAGAATAATTTACAATATTAAAATAATGCAAATTTAGAGATGTGTAGATTATTACCGCTCTAATATGTCGTCCGTGAATATACACTACTTAACATAACTAGACTTACCACCTCATCCATCGAATACTATCCTTACGTATATGAAGTGCTATAATGAGAGATGATAAATATCGCAAAAAAACCAGTAATTGGACTGTTTTTTGCAGAGTTATTGGAAACGAAAAAATCTTACAGATGATTAATATAATACAATAAGTATTCATGCCTAGTATAACATATAGGTAATATTTTAGCAGCAAAGATTAGATACTACTTAGATATAATAGCACTTAAATCACAATAATAGGTGAAATATATATATATATATATTTTATAGTGAATAAATTACCACTAATACATACCACGTTGTATGGAAAAAAATTAAATTGTATTCCAGGAGAAAAAAAGACAAAAAAAAAAAAGAGGCGGTGAAAACTTTTACTTTCAAAGAAAATTATTTTTTTGAGTAGTGGTGACTCCCAAGCCTTATTTAAAGTTGTTAATGAGGCGTTAAAATTAAAGTGAAATTTCTTGTGGAGGCATGCAATGAGAGAGAGAGAGAGATAAAGCGAGTGAGTGACATAATGAATATGAACAGTGATATATTAACTTGTGATAATTCAAATTTAATTGTTATGGGATTTAGATTGTGCACCACCGCACTTGGTGTACGATGAATAATAATACAGCTTTGCAAATCTGCCGTAGTAATGTACTTCAGCGAACAAAACCAAGTAATTCGAATAATTAAAATTTAAAATATGGAGTTATGTATAGCGTCACGTTGAAAGAAATGGTGTTTAAACCGCCAAAACCGAATAAAAGATAATGTAATTACAACAACGACGATAGTTATATCATTAATAACAAATAACAATAAAAAAAATACAGAAAACATTCATGCACTCAAGCAAACGCAATTCAATCTTGTTATAAAAATACTAATATTTAATCATTTAATTTTATTAAAATTAAAATTATATATTTTTTGTCTTTTTTTCATGATAAGTATGAATATTTTTAACGATAATACAACTAAAAATATTATCGAAAAGATATACATTAACGGAATGTATAGTGGACCGAGTTTATTTAAATCAATATTGAAAGGCACGTGGTTTCTAACAAAAACTAATAATTAATTGTAGTGGTTTTGGTCTTATCATCATTTTTATTATGTCAATGTACGTATAAAAGAGTACAAAAAGTTTGATAGAAGCTTATCAACAGTCAACTAAAGTGACATTTTAAACGCGATGTACTTTTGCATTTTTCCATAGAGTTTATTATAATGTGTGAATACCATGTACATGACAAAGATTAGATAGGATGGTACACTATGAAATAATATTAATTTAATTTTTCAAATATTTAATAAGGTTAGAATTTTGTTAATTTATTCCTGGATCAGTTATCGTATACTTTCGATACTAAGAATCGTGATAGCGAAAATACGTGCAAAGTCCAAGAAATTCATAACAATAATTTATTTCTATAGATTAATTGTGTCAAAGTAGCTCTTGATTTTACCGAACTGTTAGAAATAATACTCGTTGCACCCTCTGTTGAGTACATTATACGATGGGAATGATAGTAGCAACGAAAATCAAGGCCGTTTTTAGATTTTTTTCATGGGGAGGGGGGTAAATGTATAATACATTTAAAAAATTTCGAATATATGTACTCAAAAGATAGAGAAAATGGTAGGCAACAAACTAATAAAACTAACATGGTGCGATAAGTATCGATATTATACGCATATATTATTAACGTAGCAAACAAGAGTAAATGGTCGTAAATGGAGTACATGGTAATTTTACTGTTTTATGTTTAAAATTTGGTAAAATATACTCTTTGAAAATATTTATCAAATTTTTGTTTACAATCATAAGATGACTCATACAAGTATATAAATGTGCACCTAACTTACATAAGTTTGGAGTACACGGTTATAGCCGTCAAATATATAAAAATATTACATTTAATAATTAAAAAATTATTCATGTATAATTATTCATTACCCCTTGACAGATTATTATTCATAGAAATAGATTATCATTTATGATAATATTATGATAAGAAAATCTCGATATATTAATGTATAAATGCACTATGAAGATTACGTATATGATAACAAAATGTTCCATCATTTAATAATAATAATGATGATGATGATAATTTCTTATCAAAATATATTTCTATGATTATTTATTTTTATTTTTTTTTTATCAATAAGTATTATCATTGATTATAAATAGTATTTATTATCAATGGTATTACATACAGTGAATATAAAGTGTATAAAATAATATGTATAAATATACACAATCTATTTTATTCGCTTATAAACATATAATGTTTAAAAATCTTACCTTCGGATGACTGAAGTGGGCTCACTGCAAATATCGCCATCAGGAATGTCATGGCTGTTACTTTTGTCGAGTACATCCTCTCAGAATGCAGTAAACGCGCCCCTTGTTTACAATTTACAATTTTTAAAAATCTTATTTTTTAGTAACTTTCTTCCTCCTCTCGTTACTCTCTCCACCTTTTCTTCTTATTTTTATTACTGTTAATCTCTTTCTCTCTCTCTCTCTCTCTCTCTCTCTCTCTCTCTCTCTCTCTTTCTCCTTCTCACTCTTCGGATAACCGCTCTATGGCATTAAATCTTCTTCTAATCCCGTTAACGTCAACATAGTGCCATAAATCGATCGATCTATACAGCGTAGAGAAAATGCATAAAACAAACAATAAAGTGGAAATAATTTAAAAGGGGTGCGTTTATTTTTTTTCTTTTCTTTTTCCCCACTCTCCGGTTCTGTTGGCAGTCCTAAAACAATATGACAACATACAAATTAGGTTACATATAACAAATGGCATTTTGTACAAGGCGCGCACACATTCACGTATATAAGCTCCCCAGAATTTGTCGTCCTATACGGCCAGACGGCCAATATTAGAGGGACGGACAAGTATATACAAATATATAAATAAATTTATATATATACAACTTTTTAAGTATATATTTATATTTTATATAAATAACGTTTTATATTTATATGTTTACGTATATACGACCAACGATGGTAAAGTACCGAGCAAACGGAATTTTCTAGTGTCCCCCGGATGAACTCGTTTTGACAGAAACAAAAGATGGAAGAGGAAATAATAAGTTCTATAAACGTTTCGAGGATTCACAGATCACGTTTGGAGTAGAGTTAGTGATAGTTGAAGTTTGCAGTGGAATGCATTATTTTCCTTTATTCCCACATCCAAACGCTTAAAAAATAATAGATTTGAAGGATATTTTAAATTTTTCAGGTGTATTTTTACAGAGTAACCAAGTTAGCTTAAGTTTAAAGCAGGAAAAGCAACATTAAAAACGTGTAAATACACTGCAACATAGAGGTACCTGTATTCGTCTGAGCTTCGTGGATGAAAGTATAATATAACATATTTATATTTTTGTTTTTCATAAAATAAAGACACCGTTTTCGCAACAATTTCGATAATGTTATTACGCATACAGTCGATGTAATATATATTACTTAGCAATAAATAATTTATACACGAAATCGTTAAGATATCTAAAACGGTACTATAACATTACACGTGTGTGGTATATAGTTATTGAACTATGTATATGACCCAGATTTATGAAAGACGACGAAATATTATATTAAAAACTAAATATGGTTTTGGATATTGTGGAAATCTCAGTATATATTGGTTCTGCAATGATATAATGTATTTTCTCTAATATGTCCGTAAACGCTTTTTCGGGTAGTGCTCCGAAAGTTTCATTTATAACCCCCATGATCTACACATACATTCAGCACAGCTGGTGGTACTTTATATAGATTATTTTCGAAAATGTTGAGAAACTATGACGAAAAATGCAAATTTAACGCGAAGCAGCCGGAGGTTACTCACAATTGAGCTGTTCGCGAGTTTTAAATTACTAACGACACATAATTTATGCATTGATTCGTTGTTTTATAAGCATTATTATTATAACTCAGCAAATTAAATAAAGTGTGTATTAACTATTAACATAAAATCAAATAAATAAAGTTATATTTATGGAAGACAAAATATAATTTTGATGTTTCAAAATAAATGTGATACGCATTTAATTATATACTGTCAGTTATTCTCATTCATTTTCACTATACCATATAACTAAAATAAAAAATGTTATCGCATACGAAAAGAAAGTATAAAAAACATTGATTTAAAAAAAAAAAATCTGCATCAACTTAAAACTGCACGTTTTTAATCCTATTAATGTAGTATTCTCATTAAATTGGTAGAAATACGCATTCATATACATTGAACGTGAATTCGAAATGAAATTACTGTACAGTGTACACAGTCGAATGCAATTCTTTAACTGCAAACGAGCAATTTATTTTCATTTTTTTATTGTGTTTATAATATTTTGAGACGGCGTAAGTGAGTAACGTTTTAATTATAACCCCGTTCATTATTAAAATGCCTTTGCAGCGGCCAAAGACAGAAGAAGAGAAATATACTATTTACGGATGCTATTTATACGTTTATTTTTAAACAAGACCAAAACAAAAATTAAAATCCCTTTCTTTGGCTGGGTCTTTTTGTCCCCATAGAAAAGACAAAACGCCACTCATTGTTTGCTGTCGTTCGTTTCTATTGTTCGAAAAATGTTAGTGCGATTATCATTATATTCTATTTTGATTTTCAGTATTATCTCTAAATATGAAAATTAATAAAAATCCCAAGATAAAAAAAAAAAGCTCTAAACAAAAATCAATATACGATCAAAAATTGTGATTTTCTACAACATCGTTAATTAACCATAATCTCATGACATAATAAATTCATTGGAAATGCTAAAAATAAAATAGACACTGTTTTTGAGTGTAAATGTGGGTCAATGAACGGATGTATTTCAACAGTTTTATTTTTTTATTCAATACAATTGCTTATAAATGGCTCGGGCAACTTTATACATAAAAGTATAATTAAAACTAAGTTCCTACAAAAAAAAAGAAAAAATATATATATAAACATGAAACTTATCACCTCTACACAAAAGAACTTGATATCTATCTAAACTTGATATCAAGTTCAGAGTAAATGGTAATGTATATCAAAGTTTCTTGGGTCGTCAATGATTGGAAACTAGAATTTAAATCACTATGATTTGTATGTCTGATCAATCACTGTGATTTTTGTTCATACAAATATAATTATTATTGAAACTCCAACAGATATCATAATTATAATTACAACAAAATAATACTGCGCGTCGTTAAACCAACGATAAATATCAAAATATTCAAGATGTTTACTCCCGACCCATTATATTTGAACATTTATTTTCGAATAAATAATCTCTTGTCAATATAAAATCGGACTTTTCAAATGTACACATACATTGCTTATTGAGTAATCGTCGAATAGAATTTTCATATTATTTTAATAGATAGTTCATTTTTTGTATCGCCTTTTTGATATTGTTTATTTTGTTAATTTTTATAAAGTTGCGAATTCTAAAAAATAAAAGAATTAAAGTGTTGTATAAGTTTCCTTATAAAATATACTTGTTTTGGGTTTGGATATTAATTTTTAATTTTCACTAAAATTGAGTATAATTGTGAATTTTTTCATATTTTTCTTAAAATTATTAGATATAAAGGAGATTTAGGAAAACTAGAAATACACAAAGGGTGAAAAATATAATGATGCTGGTAAAAGATATAATAAAAATTATAAGGCATAAAATCCATAACAAGACTATTACATCAACTCAAGTGGGTATTCATTTAATTTAAAAATTATAATTTAGATTATTATATTGAGAGCAGGGACTGGAACCTATAGGATTTTTCGGTTCCTGTTTTGGTTTTGGTTGTTCAGTTAATTTTTTAGAGATTCCGGTTTAGGTTTCAGTTTTTTAAAAGAGTAAGGGTTCTAGAACCAGTTAATTCTGATTATTAGAGATTAATTGAAAAATAATATGAAATTATTTATTTATTCTTGTTTAAATTTGAATTGTTTGATTTCATGAAAATAGAAAGTCTTATGAATAGTTAAAAAAAATAATTATAAATATATTAAATATATATATTATATCAGCCTATTATATTTTTTTGAGTTAGGTTAAGTTATTTTATTCCAACTTATAGTAAGAATTTGTAAAATAATTTGTAATATTGTGAAATATTATGATTAGATGAAATAAATATCTTTAATTTAAAATTTAATTTTAATTAGAAATCAAAGATAATACTGGCTAATTTTGTAGCTACAAATTTTTTATAAAAAATAATTATATTTAATACTTAATTGACAAGATAGATGATATACTCATTGCAAATTGTAATATATAAATAAACATAGAAAAATAATAATAATATTACAAATTTACTTATTATCTTATTATATGCATTACACTATTACAGCGTACAACATAAAATAATAAAAACATAAAAAGATTTGACTTTTATTTTTCTGAACCGACAAATGGACAACCATAATAGTCATTACCATGTGTTATTAGTCTAAATCCGTGGTTCTCAACCGGTTTACCATGACACACTAGTGTGTCACGTATTACTGTGGAGTGTGTCGCCAAAATATTATTAATTGAAACTATAAGCTTTCAGAGTATGAACGTGCCTATATTATAAGAGAATTATGATGAAATAATAAAAGCCTTATATATAAAAAAAAAATTATAATGATATTCTTATTGATTTTTATTTATTAGAAATATCATCAATTATAACGTTAAAATCCAAATTTTGTATGTCTCAAAGTGATTCTTTCAGATTTCTCTGTAAATCGAATACACAAGAATAATAAGAATTTAAAATTTCGTTTTATTTTCAACCTCATACATTTCTGAATCAGCATATTCGATATCGGAAATAACAGAAAGTAAAAGAGATATTAAGAGTAAATTACCGGAAACGTTGTCAACCATTTACCCACGAATCAGACCTATGCAGGGAGAATTAACCAATAGAAAATGCAGAATTAACTAATACTGTTTTTCATAATACTTTCTTTGAACTTTTAAAACTTTAATTAAGTAAATTGAAACTTTTTTAAGTTTTAATTTTTTAAATAAGATCCATCCATTATTTCAAGTGTGTCACCATTTTTATAGATCTAAATTAGGATGTCGTTATACAAATAATATTGAAAAGCAATGATCTAAATAACTGACTTAAATTAACCCTTTTGTAATTAAGATTACAGTTACGGTTACGGTTTTTTCATTTTTGAAAATAAAGGTTCCGGTTTCAATTACGCTTCCTAAATTTTTAAGGTTAACCAATTCCGGTACCGGTTCCTTTCAGTTACGGTTCTGGTCCCTGATTGAGAGTTACCATAGAATAAAATAAAATATTAAACACAACTAACTAAAAGCTGATAATTAGTGTGATCTATATATTATAAATAGTTGAAAAATATTAATGAACTATTAGTTCAGTTTTCTGTGGAATATCGACAAAAATTTAGAAAATTTCATATTATAATTAAACATAATTATACCATGGCAGTATAGCTAATTTAGAGAAAGTTATTTTTGAAAACTTTTGACCGCAGGAAAAATATTTTTTTGTTTAAATTTTATCGTATAAGATTAATTAACTAGGTATACTAGTTATACATTGCGGAAGTACATTGAATAAGTTGCATCGAACTTATAAAAGACATCCACTAGGTATACTGATGTCAATATTTCTGTTAACTTCCCCTAGGACAAAATATATAATAAATAAAGTGGAGATAATTTAGAAGGAGTGCTAAGAAATATACCTAACAGAAATATTTTTG